GTCTAGTTTGGGGTATATCTTTCAAGCATACCAAATTCCCTGAGGAGACTTAAAATTTCAGGGCATCACCTGAATCCTGCTAGAGCAGAATCTCGCAGTGGGCTGGGTCAGGCCATGTATGTTTGAGACACTTCCTTAGATCATTGTGTCTCAAATCATGGGGCAGGATCTATTAAGCAGGGAATGAAATTAATGAAGTGGCCTGTGAATAACACATTTGTAAAAATATGAAATAGAATCGAGTAGAAAATACCAGTACGTTGCTCTCTAGCAGTAAGACGTTATGGGAGTCAGGTGCTAGCCTTCCTTGTCAGCACACTGGTTTTTCCCTTTTTATTTGAATTGTAACACTGATCTATTTAGTCAGCCAATTAGTTAATTAAAAAGTATCAATCCAGTTTGTGAATGATTTAATAATTAATAGGTTATTAATTTTGCAGATTAGCTATGCATGGATATCAACTAGCGTACTTCTTAAAAATTCAGATTTCATGTACCCATTCTTAGATATTCCAATTCAGATATCTTGGAGTGAGACCTAGGACTCTATTTAAACAAGGGCCCCAGATGACTTTGATATAATCAATCAAATACGTCCTGAGTTTGGGAACCAAGTTTTGGATGACAAACCCATTACGGGAGGAAAAGCACTGGGACATTTATACCATCAATACTTAGGATTTTTAGGTGTACCAATAAAGCTCATGGAAGGTAACTTGCAGAGTACAGGAAATTTCTCAAAGGACATAGAACTAATGCTGTGCTATATAGAGAAAAATGGTGTCCCATCCCTCAGGATAACCCAACACAAGACTGATTTTTCTCAGGACTCACCATGGTTGGCATTATGTTGTTTCTCATCTTTTATCAACAACTTGGGGATTTACCAAGATATGTGAATCCCTAAAGACGAATATCTAGGTTGGGAATAACTGAAATGCTAAGCTAAAGAATTGATATAGAATAGACACTCTCATTTACTTAAGAATTTTTTTCTACTTGTGTGATCAAGTTGCCATGGGAACCTAAAGGCTCATTTACCACATACGAATGCACAATGCTATCAATTTTTAAAAATGAACACAAAAAACTTGCTAAAGATCCATTCAGTTTACTCTACCTTCAGAATGACAGCACTTTATAAAAACTAACAAATTATTTAATTGTAGACAGTTGTTTAAATGTAGAATTCTGGTAAAACTCCAAACTGGTAAATGGCTTTTGGTTTTTGTAAAATTAAAATGATCATTGTTCATTTGAATGTTTTCCTCTAATAATCTAGGTGCTGCTGTGTATAATCGTTCGAAGAGGGGTGACATTTAAAATAGGTAATGATGTAATTAATCTGAATGGACACTGGCAGTAGCTTCTCAGGGTCTAAGCATTAACCCAGTTTTTGACTAGCCTATGGGGAAGTTCTGCAAATGTTAGAAGAGCTAGTATGGCTTGAATAGGCAAGGAAGACAGAGAATTCAAACAGCAAACATTTTCCAAGTAGTATAAAAAAAATTCAGTATTTTAACACATACACACTCAGTATGTGCTGTCTGTCTGATTTCCAGTCCTGCTTCAAAGGGACTTGGAGCTTTTGATTTCAGGTTGAAGCTTGGGCTAGTGAGGTAGCAATTAGATGTTGCTCGGAAGACCATAGGTGCAATTTAGAATGAGAAAATATAAAACTGCATGAGACAGGGCGCCTGGGTGGCTCAGTTGGTTAAGCGACTGCCTTCGGCTCAGGTCATGATCCTGGAGTCCCCGGATCGAGTCCCGCATCGGGCTCCCTGCTCGGCTGGGGGTCTGCTTCTCCCTCTGACCCTCCTCCCTCTCATGCTCTCTGTCTCTCATTCTCTCTGTCTCAAATAAATAAATAAAATCTTTAAAAAAAAAAAAAACTGCATGAGACAATCAAGGTGATTTTCCAATGGACAAAAAAAAATGGGTTGCATTGAGCAAAATGATGATTTGCTCATTTAGGACACCACTAATACATGCATAGAAACACACAGAGTTTCACATATTTACACATATATAGATAGGAAAATATACTCATGCTTAGGCAAAAAGTTGGAGGTGTCTCAAATGAGAATGAATAAGAAAGGCTTCTTTTCTTTTGTTTCCAAATAAATATGTCTAACTTTGTTTTGTCAAAACTCTTCCATCGCCAGATGGACCTTAGCAATATTTCAGGCTAATTTTGGTAACTACCAACTCATTTCTCACCATTACTTCCATTAGGATAGGTTTGTTATGCTTGTTCCTAGGAGGTGCCTGTGGAAATACAGGGTCGGGCGGGTGTTGTCTTTCTTACTGAGGGCTGTAGGCCATGGTCCAGCAAACATCCAGATCGGGAGAAGGTCACAATCATCCCTTCTGGCTCTAACACCAGCCATCAAAATAACAAGAGGGCCCTACTCTCCTGCTCTCCCCCAGCTGTAAGGAAAGAGATAGTTGTTACAAACTCTGTGCACCCCCAGAAGTGACTCCCTCTCCCCCTCTTTAGGACTTTTTATATTAAGTGGGAGGGAGAAGTTCTACTAAATTTGAATAAGTAGCTGATAAAAACTGATGGGTTTTCTCCAAAATACAATAAATAAAATCTAAGTCATAACAAGGAGATATTATTTTGTATCTATTGGCAAAAATTATAGCAATCATATCTGACCTAGCGTGGGTTATCAGATACATTTGTGCACTCTTGTGGTAGTGAAAATTGGTCTAAACTCTTTGGAGAAATTTTGGCAATAAATTTTAACATTACTTTTAATATACTCAAAAAAAAATTTTTTTTTAAAGATTTTTTTTATTTATTTATTTGAGACAGAGAGAATGAGAGAGAGAGAGCACATGAGAGGGGGGAGGGTCAGAGGCAGAAGCAGGCTCCCCGCCGAGCAGGGAGCCCGATGCGGGACTCGATCCAGGGACTCCAGGATCATGACCTGAGCTGAAGGCAGTCACTTAACCAACTGAGCCACCCAGGCGCCCCTCAAAAAAATTTTTAATTACATTAATTTAAAAAGGCGCATGTACCTTTTAATCCTAGACTTTAATTGCTAGGAATTTACCATTCATACACATTGTACAAATCCAAGGGTGATTGTTGCATCATTAATGCAATAAGAGAAAAGGATCAAAGTCAATCTAAGCATCCTCAATAGAGCACTACTCTATTATGTTATATTATGCATATAACAAAATGCTATAGAATTTAAACTAATTGAGGTAAATCTATACATGCTGATGTAGAAAGATCTTGGAGAATATGTTCCAAGAAATTCCAAGGCACAGAGGTGAATGATACATAATATGATGGCATTTTTGTAAAATTACATATACAATTGTTTCTCTCTATATCCTTTTTATTAAAACTTTTTAAAAAAGATTTTATTTATTTATTTGCCAGAGAGAGAGTGAGAGTACAAGCAAGGGGAACGGCAGGCAGAGGGAGAAGTGGGCTCCCTGCTGAGCAAGGAGCCCAACGTGGGGCTCGATCCCAGGACCCTGGGATCATGACCTGAGCTATAGGCAGACACTTAACCAACTGAGCCACCCAGGTGCCCTAAAACTTTGTTTTTTATGTATGCATACAAATTCTGAAGTGTGTATAAGGACATATAAACAGTCGTTCTTCCTGTGAGTGGCACTGACAATGGCTGGGTGTGGAGATGCTTTTACTCCTCAATTGATATACTCTCTATTATTTGAATGTTATTTATTTATTTATTTATTTTTATTTTTTAAAGATTTTATTTATTTATTTGACAGAGAGAGAGAGAAAGTGAGAGCAGGAACACAAGCGGGGGGCGGGGGGAGAATCAGGCTTCCCGCCAAGCAGGGAGCTGGATGCGGGGCTCGATCCCAGGACCCTGGGATCATGACCTGAGCCGTAGGCAGGTGCTTAACCAACTGAGCCACCCAGGTGCCCTAAAACTTTATTTTTTATGTATGCATACAAATTCTGAAAGTGTGTATAAGAACATATAAACAGTGGTTCTCCCTGTGAGTGGCACTGACAATTGCTGGATGCGGAGATGTTTTTACTCCTCAATTGATATACTCTATATTGTTTGAATGTTTTTTAAACTATTTGTCTGCATGACTGTTCTATTGACAATAAAATAGTAGAAAACTAAAATAATTCTAGTGTGAAGAGTGGAGGTTGTAACTCAAGAGTTAGTTTTTCTTGCGCCCGTAAAGGTCATCAAACTTAGCACATTGAGGAGAAAGGCTACGGATGGAGGTGGGGAATCTGTTCTGTGACCCCCTCCCCTGTTGTTCATTTGGCCACTGTTATTTGTTGTTACAAGGTCTGTGCTGTTGTCCCAGGTGTTCATACCCCTACCCCCAAGGCTTCCTGCTTCTTGCTCCTATTACCACTGGTCACCATAATAACTCCTGTTCAACACAGTCCCCTTGAAATGAGGTGCCATGTCAGGGGGAGGATGGGCCCAGAGTTTTGAGGTAGCATCTGTGTCTCTCACCCTGCCTCCAGCCAGGGGTGGCTATGGATTTTCCTTTATTCTTTAAATACCACTGCCCAAACTACATGGTGGAAGGGAATTATGATTGTAGGGTAGGGAAGCCCTACATGGAGACAGCCAAGAAATCAAACCCTTCTCTGGGTATCCCTTGTGTACAGCTACTTTTCCAACTTTGGTTCTGCTGCCTGCTCCGCAGGACTACCTCCTTTGTCTCATGCATGGTGCCAATTTCTACCAACCCTCAGGAAAATTCCTTCTCTGTTCAGTGTGCCTGAGAATACTAATTGTTAAGCAATAATCATCCTCTCTTTCTTCCTTAGCAATACCAACTGGAATTTATTTGATATGATAATATGTCCAGCTGAAAATGTACATTTCCTATACCTCCTTGTATCTAGAGTGGTGAAGAGAGGCATGTAGTAGTGTTTGATGGGACTTTTGAGAAACATTTTTGAGGATGACTTACTCAGATAAGTGACATGTGATTTTTGACTTTCTTCCCTTCTGCTACTTCTTGCCTAGTGCTCATCTGTGCTGGCTGGAACTGGAGCAGTCATCTTGGACCATTGTGGGGACATGAGGAAGAAGCTAACACTGAGAATGGTAAGATAGAAAGATTGAAAGCACCAGATACTGTGAGGCCACCCTATCAGGTATGGCAATCTGCTTCTAGTTCATTTTATTTGAGGGAAAAATAAATTCTTATGTATTTAAATTGTGATAATTCTCTCTATTGCAAGTAGAACCCAATTCTAATCACCTGAATCCACCTAACTAGCTCCAGTACATTTTCCAAGTGTGAGTTATTTAGCAGTGAAAAGCATGGTTACCTTGGGCGGATCAACAACGGGTAAAGAAATAGGGCCATGAGCCTACTTTGGTTTTCAAGTTTCTCTAGATAGAGTACAGGGTGGACATAGTTTGATTCCCTTTGAATTCTCTCTTCTGGAATGTGTTGGAGATACACTTTATTTTTTTCCAATTATACAGCAGTAACTTAAAAATATTTTTTTATGGCTATTGTCTTAATGGAATGCCTCTGGGTCACATGCATTTTGCTCACATTTGCTCAGTTAATCCTCACACCAGCCCTAGGTGTAACTCTCAGAATGGAGATGAGTTTCATCTTGCTATGCAGAGCAGGACTGATTTCTTTCATTTGCAGTTCTTCCCTCCTGCTTTTAAAATTGCATAATTCATGAATTGCCTACATTTAAAAATATACCCAGTCCTGACCCAAGACCACATAATGATCAGTCCCTAGACCTAGTGATAAAATTACTCTTACAAGAACTTGTTTCAGTTCTTAGGCAAGGTCTATGCCTGTCCATAATCTCTTGATGGTGGAGGGTAAGGTGAGTGGATGAATTCCATACTTTCGATTGCAGATACAAGGAGTATTTCAAGAATGGGTCAGCTGTTTGCCTTTACCTTTACCAACCACATACAGATATAAAATATGTGTGACAAATGTTCAAAGCCCCCTTCCTTCATCCAATAAAGAGGCAGCTCCCTATGACTACAGGAACCTTCCTGTCTCACTGCTAGCCATACCCTGTTACCTGAGATTTTCACAGGACATATTAATTTGAGTTAATGAAGGCTTTTGGACCTCTATAAATACTTACATGTTATAGGAAAGATTTTAAAATGTAAAATAATTCTGATCTATAAACTGAACATTAAAAATCGAGCTATCTATTTCTTTAAAGTGAACAGGTATCCATGCGGATGGACAGGTGAAATTTTATTTTGGTGGCAGGAAATAGAAATGTGATCACACCTAGCATACTTAGCATCCTGGGCATATGAAAGTAAGAGGCAGCAGTGTGAGAACACTCGGTATACTTGCAGTAGGTCTAAAGGGCAATGAAATATAAAATTCATGAGTTAGTTATAAGTTGGCCCTACATATTCTTGCATGGACTCTAAGTTCAGTTGGTTTGAGCCCTTTGTTTCTTTAGACCCCAAGCAGGGTTACATGAATTGACATAGAAAGTATTTTATTAATAATTTCAAAATGCATGCCCATGGATACCTATTTCTAATATTCTTTCATTTCTCTTAATATAGGATATTATTTTTAAAAAGCCAAAAGATCCAACTTTAGGAATAAAGATTTTTAAAAATATGTGTATGCTATTATCATCCCTTACTCTGCAAGATGAATAAATCTTCCCAAATTTACTTTACATGTTTAATATTTTTGAATGCATACAATTCAATCTCGAGTTACCTGTTAGGGCATTACTTCTGGATAAAAGACTTAAAATTGGATATTACAGGTCACAGATCTATACTTATCTATCAGTTTCATGCCTCAGAAACATAGCTTCTTATAATACTTGATTACCAAATTGTGTTGTGTATAAAAACACATAAATGTGAGTGCTAGTGTTGTTTCAACGCTGGGAGAAAAGAAATTAGGTAGTCTAGAAAGGAGACTAGCAAAATCAGTATCAATTGTTTAAAGAATCATTTGCCTATTTTAAACCATATCAATAGCTTCGCTAAAAAAAAATGACACTTCTAAGTTATGTGTCATATAATAGTCATGGGGAGAGTTGGTTTCTCTAATCCAAACCTTTTAAATAAGTGATTTGTAAAATAATTGCTACAAGCAAGAGGCTACCGTGGTGCCATTATTAACATCTGTGTGGGCGGGATGCTGAAGAACATCTTTTGTGGACATAAGTTACAGGGTTTAAGTACATCCACAGAAGAACAACAGGACCACAGATAAGAAACTGACTTGGAATGGGGGAAACAACAGAAAACAAAAATAAAATTGCTTCCCGATTTCAGTTTGTCTTGAAAAATGGTTGTCTATTGCTAGTTGCACCAAATGTATAATAAAATAACTTGTTTTTCCTGATGAAGAGTGCTTCATGCTCCTGGGAACTGTGTTGGACAATTCACAGCCATGTTAAAATAGAGCCTGATGCACCCTCGATCTTAAATTTTTTTGGTCATATTTTTGCTGGCATGATCTTTTGAAGTTTTGCTGCCAGGATGTATTAGAAGAATGAAATAAGTTTAGTGGGTGCCTAAAGAGAAAAACAGACACATATGCATATCAAAATTGATATCATAAAATGGCAAGCACCCCCATTTGCCCTGAAGTTCCTCTAGGATTTATCACAAGCTATAGCAGAGAGCTATAAAGTGGCTTTCTCTGCTCTCGTTTTGGGAGATGGGTAAGAAAGCTATGGGTGAGAAACTCACAGAACAGAGGGGAAAATGGTTCAAAAATGAGGAAAGAATAAAGAGCTGAAATAATTTGAAGAGGGTGTTTTGGGTGTATGTGTTTGGAAACAGAGCCAAAGTCACGCTCTGAAAATCCTTCAGAGTATGGCAGCTTCTTAGTATGTGCTATATCAGAAAGGGTCCTGGCCTCAGCGCCGGGGGTTGGTGTTAATTCTTGGATCCTCCCCTAACAGCGAGCTTAGTGCTCTCTTTATTTCTCTGTTTCCTCCTTTCTGAAAGTGAGATTGATTTTACCCAGTGAACTGGGTTGAATAATGTTACCTCCAACTTGAGGTCCACTCAAAACCTCAGCATGTGACCTTATTTGGAAATAGAATCTTTGCCAATATAATCAAGCTAAAATAAGGTCATACTGGATTAGAGTGGACTTTCCCCCCTCATTTCTTGTAAGATTCTTACATTTACAAAAATGACAAGAGCACAGAACTTCCTGCAATTGTTTGAAATTGCACTTTTCTATATTTTAATTTTTTTCCCCAACCACTTTATTGAGGTATAATTGGCATACAAAAAGCTGTACCTATTTAAGGTACACAAACCTGATGGGTTTAAAGAGAAATACACACTTTGAAACCATTACCACAATGTAAGCCATAAACATCTCCATCACCTCCGGTTTGCTCATGCCTTCCTTCTTGTCCTTATTATTTTTTTTGTAACAAGAACACTTAACATAAGGTCTGCTATCTTAATAATACTGTATTGTGTACTTAAAAATTTGCTAACTATAGGCACTGTGCTTTACTGTAGATTGCTAGGACTTATTTATCTTGTATAACTAAAATTTTATGCCTTTTGACTAATACTCCCCCTTTCCCCTCCCATCAGCCCCCCCCGGCAACCACTACTCTACTTTCTGTCTCCATGATTTTGACTATTTTAGATTCCTCATATAAGTGGTATCATGTACTATTCGTCCTGTACCTGGCCTATTTCACTTACGTTCCAGGTTCATCTGTGTTGTCCCAAATGACAGGATTTCTTTTTTTTTTCTTCTTAAGGCTGAATAATGTTCCATTGTATGTGTATACCACATTTTCTCCATCTCTTCATCCATCATGGACATGTTTGTTGCTTCCATGTCTTGGCTATTGTGAATCATGCTGCAGTGAGCATGGGAATACAGATTGCTCTTTGATCCTGAATTCAATTCCTTCAGATACATACCCAGAAGTGGAAATGCTAGATTCTTTGGTAGTTCAGTTTTTAATACTTTGAGGAATCTCCATATAGTTTTCCATGGTGGCTACACTGATTTTCATTTCTACCAACAGTGTATGAAGGTTCCCTTTTCTTTACATCCTCGCCAATACTTACTTTCCTTTTCACTTTTTATAATACCCATCCTAACAGGTGGGAGGTTTAGTGGGTGCCTAAAGAGAAAAACAAACAAATAGACACATATGCATATCAAAATTGATATCATAAAATGGCAATGGTTTTGATTTGCATTTCCCTGATGATTAATGGTGTTGAGCACCTTTTTATACACCTGTTGGCCATTTGTATGTCTTCTTTGGAGAAATGTCTATTCAGTTTCTTTGCTCATTTTTTAATGGATTTTTTTTTTTTTGGTCCTGAATTATTTGAGTTACTTATATATTTTGGACAATAACCATTTATCAGATATATGGTTTACAAATGTTTTCTCGGATTCCATAGGTTGCCTTTTTATTTAGTTGATTGTTTCCTTGGCTGTGCAGAAGCTTTTTAGTTGGACATAATCCCTCTTGTTTATCTTTGTTTTTGTTGCCTGTGCCTGTACATCCAAAAGATTATTGCCAAAGCAAATGTCAAGAGCTTTTGCCCTATGCTTCTTACAGGAATTATACAGTTTCAAGTCTCAATTTAAAGCAGAGATTGCTTGTAAGTCAAGGACTCCAAGGATTGCCAGCAACCACTTCGCTAGGTGAGAGGCATGGAACCTATTCTCCCTTGGAGCCTTCAGAATGAACTAACCTTTCCAACACTTTGATTGCGGACTTCTAGCCTCCAGAACTATGAGATAATAAATATCTATTGTTTTAAGCCACCTAGTTTATGCCACTTTTATTATGGCAACCCTAGGAAATTAATATACCTATTTTACACAAAGAGTAGAAAATTAAAGTAAGATTTAAAAGTTCAACATAAGAATCCTAGCTAATGTATGTAAAGTATTATCTAATGAGATACAATAAGAAACAAGAGTGGGAAGGAATACATTTTTAATTTGTATAATCATTACATCAAGATTAAGATTCGGGGCAATTAGGTGGCTCAGTTAGTTAAGCGTCTGCCTTCAGCTCAGGTCATGATCCCGGGGTCTTGGGTTTGAGCCCCACATCAGGTTCCCT